CAGTTTCCTGCGCTGATTCAAATGTTTTAGAATTGTATTAAATGTTTCCATGGAAATCCAGAGCTGAAACTGCCAGGATAGAGCCAAATTTGGGAGCAATTTATGTGGTGGAATTTCATCCTATGGGGAACAAGGTTCAGAATGCCAAAGCTCAGTTGATGTGCAACTCAAAACAGCTGCCTAGAAATGTAGATGTTTAGTGCTGTTTACTGGAAGTTCAATCTAAAGAGATGGAGAGTATAGGCTAGAAATCCTATAGACAGTTTGTTTCAAATACGCAGTTTGGAATCAACCCAAAAATTCCAATTAATTTACAAAAAGTGCAGTAATACTGCATTTAAAAATAAATAAATTATCAACTTGTGGTTTGCGAATTAGTTGTTCAGTTATTAGTAATCCCAGAGCAAAGTCACCTAATTACAATTATAAATGCACATGTTCATATTTTGCTTTAAAATAGAAAGAGAATTACTCTATTTGGACATACTCTATTCAGTATAAGACCTGCCCAGCCTTCACGTTACAATGTACTCCCATTAGTTTCGTTTTGCTGGCGAGAACACTTCACAATAGCAGGGCACTCAGTCCAAGAAGGCAGTTGGGCGGGGGGCGGGGGGAGAGAGGGAGGTTGTCGGAAAAACGAGCAGGACAAATCCCACCCACAGGGAGACACAGCTGTCTGTGCAACGACATTCGCTGCGGTCAGTCCAGATCATTCTTTTCCAGCTGAGAGGAAGCTTTTGTGGCAAAAATCAGCAGGCAAGCCTCCTAAACTGGGAGGGTAAGCGGAGGTAATACTAAAACTTGCATTAGAGAGCATTTTCACACTACTGCTCATGGAGTGAAAGCACACAATGAGTTTTATATATATATATTTCTCTCTTGCTCTCTCCTCCACCTCTCCTGTCAGCGTTGATTTTACTCTGGCCTCTACAAGCACTGACTGCCCAATTGATCATTCTTCACTTGTGAGCTAAGACAGTGAGTGTGTGCTGGCTATTCAACTGTAGAGGTGGGAAAGGCATCAGATAGAGTGACCTCTAAGTCTGGGATGAGGTATCGTGTCTCTGGCTAAAATTGCCCTGTCTTGAGTTCAGCAACAAATGCAACAAAAATAAAATTCTAAAACAGATACACTCATCAGAGATGTTATAAGAGACATAATTTCAACACTGCATGCAATACACTGGTGTTTCAGATCCACTCCCAGTTGAATGAATATATAAAGACAAAGGAACTCTGTGTACTCTTACACCTGCCTTGTAGGAACAGAACATTTTGTGTTTTAAAAGAGATGATAATCAGTACTTTTAAAAATATATATATATTTTCGGTGAAATATAAATGTCTGATGCTGACAAAACCTTTTTTTTAAAGCCAGTAATGCCTTCAGTCACAGCAGTGACTGGAGGATTGGGAATACCATCCACACCTCACTCCTAGACTAACTTACACAAATCCTTTGTTTTCAGGCCATTAAATTGGAATGCAGTTGAATTAAAAATAGTGCAGCAGTGCTAAAGCCATGATTTGGTCTCCAACTGTGAAACAAAGTCCAGCCCCAAGCAACACACAAGCTTCCTAGCTTACTGAAAACACGTGTATATACTATGTCAATCTCTTGGGCAGCAAACAATTTTTGACAGGAACTTCCTCCAGCAATCACTTTCTCCAATTTTATTTGGCTGCTTCAGGCTCATGAGAAGAAATTTCCATTAATTCATCCAAAACAATTCATTATGTTTTTCCTCAAATTTGTAAAATAGGCAATTACTCAGCTTTAAAACACAATATTCCCTATTCTCTGAAATGAATTCCTCAGCCAAGTCAATCATAGAATTTATGGTTTGCTGTCCACATGCGTTACCGCTATCGTTAGAAAATGCATATTCAATTTGGACAACGCTGAATAAATGACAAGAAAGCATCAACATAAACCAAAACTGACATCATTTATTTTGCTTAATTTTAATGTAATCTTTTCCATTGCACGGGTATCACAAACAACAACAACAACAACATTACATTTGTATAGCGCCTTTCATGTCAACAACAACTTGGATTTATATAGCGCCCTCCATGCCGGACGGCATCGGGTGGACGTCCCAAGGTGCTGGACACTCAAGAGTTTTGGACCCGAGCTGGGGGTCAGGATTGGGGAGAGTGGAGGTTAGTGGGGGAAGCAGGGAGATCGAAGGCACGGTCGAAGAGGAGGGTCGTGAGATGGGTCTTGAAGGAGGCAAGGGAGAGGGCGAGGCGAGGGACTTCGGGATGGAGTTCCAGAGGGTGAGGGCAGTGGGGCAGAAGGACTGTCCACCAATGGTGGGGCGGGCGACAAAGGGGACATGAAACAGGCCGGAGCCCGCTGAGTGGAGGGAGTGGGCAGGATGATAGGGGTTAGGAGGTCGCAGAGTTAGGGGCGAGCAAGACTTTGGAGGGCTTTGAAGGTGAGGACCAAGATCATTGAACTGTATCCTCTGTGTGATGGGAAGCCAGTAGTCAACGAGGATGGGGGCGATAGGGTCACGGAGCCTGGTAAGGGAGAGGACACGGGTTGCAGAGTTCTGGATGATCTGCAGCCTGTGGAGGGAGGAGTTGGGGAAAAATGCTCAGACTGCCAGTGCACACAAATTGCACACAAAACTAGATCAGAGTGGGGGGGTAAATAGTGCACATGGGTTTGTGGTAATTGGGGAGAAAACTTCAGTAATGAAAGCCGCTGCTTCTAGTAGTGAAGAATTTCGCCATTCATTACCCACCACATACCAGGATTGTCAATGCCAAACTGGAAGCTCCTTTAGGGGGGTTAAGCACCTGTCGGTTTTGTGTCTGCAGCAGAGAATAACACAGCTTTGCCTTATTTGCAGCTAAATCCAAGTAACACTTGTTGAGAGATGATCACACCTTGTGGCTTTCTTCCAAATATACTTCAAATAGTTCCATATTCATCCAACTGATTTTATAAACAGGTATTTGAAAAAAATGGAAATATTCCAACTAGTAGCAAAAGCAATTTTTAGTTAAAATTAATTATGTTAAGTACTCTTGCAATATAAAATACCATTGGCTTTTAATTCAGTTGAGGATTTCCTAAGATGCTTCAATCTGTATTTAATGCAGATCTGACATGGATGACAATTGTCAAGGTTCCAAGTCTATAAGACAGCCCTAAATAAGATCAATGTTCCATCACTTATTTATACTGTCCTTGAATCTGCTAACTCTGAAGGGAATTTTCCCTGTAGTTATTAATATAAAGAGACGAGGAATTCTCTGTTAAAACCCCTTCTTAAGGGTCATCCGAAGACTTGGTGAAATCACCCAATGATTTGCCAGTAAATTCAGAGACCAGGAGAACCCAGTTCAAAACCCAGGCTGCACTGAGTTAACTGAACTTACACTGGCAGCAGTGGGGGTCAAATATGTTATGAGGTTACCTCCTACTCTAGATTGGTAACCTTGTCTGGTGCATTTCAGGAGTGGAAAAGCTACAAATTCAGAAGAATGGGAATACTTAGGAAACTTAAATTTTCTCTATAAGTCACCAACTCTATATTTGTGCAGTGATGTGATATTATTCATTTGACAGCTGGCATAGAAAACTTATTTTGCTTTTGAACAAAGTACAATCCACCACCATACATACCGATGAACTGTATGAAGATGTGCAACTCCTTGCCAGAGTGAATCCTCTGCAACAGAGAGATGTTGAGAGGTAGTCAGTCTTCTAAAAGATCCATCACAGAAGCCACAACTCAACGAGTTGCTAGCACCAAAGCCAGGCCTCCACATCAGGAATGAATGCAGAGTGAGGAAGAAGGCAGGTTGCTAAGATTTTAGAAGGTAAATAGATAGGGTGGGACAAGATTGCGGAGGCTTTAAAATTGAGGGCGAGGATCGAGGAGGGCAATTTAAAATTGAGGGATGGGGTGCCAGTGGAGCCAGGTGGGGGGGTTGGGGGAAAGGCTCATGAAGCTTGCAGCAAAAAGCTTCAGACATCATTCTGTTGGCTCAGAAATTTCTCCTCTGCAGCTTTATGCCTTGGTGTAACCAGAAGGTTGGCCTTTTGTGAGGACTCTAATTGTGGTCATGATAAAGTCAGTTATTTCAAAAAGGTTCTATTTTCTTCTTCACTATTCCTGGTTATGCACCATAACACAGCTGTCCTATTTTTAGGCCTCTTTGTGTTCATGGAGGGTAAGCAAGTGGCTTGGAACTATTGCCTCTCTGTTAGGAGGTTCCTAGCCTTTGTTCAACAGTGGCTGAGTAATAATAATAATAATAATCCTTGCATTTGATATAGCGCTTTTCACGTCGGGAGGACGTCCCAAAGCGCTTCACAGAACACACTGTAAAGTGAATTGACTGTATATTTGTGGGCGAATGCGGCAGCCAATTGCGCAATGTCCCACAAACAGTCGTAGATTGAAAATGACCAATTTATTATTGTTTTGGGTTTTGGAGGGATTTTTATTAGGCGTGTGGAGTAAGGAAACTTGCCCAAGGTTATTCAGGAAGGGAGGGAGAAACGGACAGGAAAAACTCAGGTATCAAGCTACATTTAACCACTGTAAGGCCAAATGTATTGAAGTATCAATGAGATAATACAAGTCAGTTTACTTACATGGACTTCACTCAGGCACTAACGAAACCACCAAAAGTGACCTTTTGTTTAATAATACAGGAGTTTCCATTAAGACATCAGTGCCAAATAAAGGATTTAGTTTTCAAAATTATACAAGGAACAGGAGTAAACTAATCCATATTTTAGGATACTATTTGTGTAATGTTAAACAGATTTCTGATTTTTCTGGAGTTCATTTCCTTTTTAATAAAAAACTCCAAACCGCTCAGCAGAACTCGTCAATCAGGCAAATCAAATCTCTGCCACCCTAATTGGGTCAAACAATGTTACCTGCAACTACCAAGTTATCCTCAAGCCAATCTACTTGAAATAAAAACAATACTTTAAATAAAAATAACAAAAGACATTTTAAATAAAAGATTTTAACTTTTATTTAAAATAAATGCATTTATACAGAGTCTCAAAAACAGTGGTATACTCCACCAATCGGGATGTTTGTGACACAGTTCCTTCAAGCTGTTACAATGAAAGATGATATTACTAAGCAAGGCTCAATGAGAATTTTCTTCTATTGAAATAAAATTTCTTTTCTTACTGTTATGTCTACCTGCAAAGCACATCGAAATCTAAAATATTCTACGCACATTCTGTAACTGGTTTGTGACGCTATAGTTCAAAAACTGTACAATTATATAAAACTTGTGTTTTTACATTAGTTACATGAGAAATGAATACTTCATATAGCATTACTTCATAAGGTAGTGGAAAGATTGCATATTTTAAATGAAATAAAGTTTTAACTAATGCTGGTGAATATTACAATGCCACGACATAATACTATAAGGTGTAAAGAAAATAAATCACGATATAAAATGAAATACAGTTTGCAAATGAAACGGATAACCAGACATTTGGATAAGCAAGCTAAAACAATGTGTTCTTTTACGCCCAAACACAAACTACCTTCATTTCCCAGGTACCTGCAGTAGTCCGGATTTATATTGAGGGTTAACTTTTAAACAAAACACAGTAAAATTCTTAAAAGTAAAACGCACATGCAAAAAGTTTGATAAATATTCTTCATATTCCTCTGCTCTTAATATTACTTTTAATGGATGGCTTACAGATCATACAATTTGGTTTGTTTTAAGACTTTAATTATCAAGATTCTGGATGAGTGGTCTTTCAAGTTGTGTCAAAAAATGGGCTGATAAGCGAGTGACTAAGAAGTGTTCCTGTTAGTGCACAAACAGTGTTACTGGTCTGGGAATTAAAACAAAATCCATTGTAAAAGGTTACAGTACAAGGCGCTTGCTGGAATAGCAGCATATATTGAGTAACAGCCCTCATATCTAAAAGGCATTTTATGGCCTGGGTTTAATCTTTCAATGTATTCAAGCCATCACATCCAACCACTGGTAAGCTTGAAGAACATATCTTCATCCAAGCTTTCGTTCTGATCCTTCGCCCGTGTTGACAGGAAGATGTAACCACCAATAAACTCATGAACTACTTTGCAATCGATGTCTCCACAGATAAAAGAAAGTCGAACTTCATCTGCAAACTCAACTGTGACCTGAAAAGAAAAAAAAGTACAAAATGAATGCACTTTTTAAAAAGACGGATGTAGGAAAATACACCAGACTGCTATGTTATGACTGATCTATATTTATGAAATAAACACTTAGTGTACACACACACACATTTTAAAACTACAAGTGCAGCTCCCCAATGGCCTAGATAGTAAAGTCACTGCTCAGTGTACAGCTAAAGGTGCAAGAGTTTCAGGTTCCTTATTTGTGCTGAGTTATCTTATCTTAGCTGGATTGCACCAACTGATTCAATGTCCCTTGGTTGGAGAGTATAAAGAAATGAGTTCTCCACTCCCAACTGCAAACCACTGCTGAAATGTGACAGAATCAAACTCAGCTGCGATGCCCAATGGGTTGAATATCTTGGCTTATATATGAAGATGGCCATAGGGGGTGAGGCAGTTGAGAAATATGGAACCATTACTTGAGAATTATAGAACCATACGAGACAAGAACCAATGATTCTAGGAGAGGAATACACTGGTATAAAAATAAAAAGAGGCTTGGAAATAATTGGATAATAATAATAATAATGATGATGCCTTAGTTCTCAGTTGTGATACTCACAATCAATTCTCCACTATCCTGTAGTTCTTTAAAATAACCAAATACCATTTGACCACAAAGTAAATTGTGTTCAAAGTAAAAGGCATGAAAATCTAATTGTAATAACTTGGGAATGTCATTTGTTTTCCATGGCAGAAATCTTACCATTTTGATCTCCCAATTTACATTCCATTGTTTCATGTTGCTGAACCTCCAGGTCTTGATCGCGTCTCCTGTACTTGAATCCATTCTGATCAGCCTATTGTAGGCTATTCCGATCAGGTCATCTTTCTTACTTCCTTGAAACCTAAAGTACAAGGCATCACACGTCTCTTTAAATGTGCAAGATAGTTAGGGGTCAGCAAAGAATTAACAAAAGATCACATTTTACGAGCATTCTACCTACACTCAGCAATGCTGGTGAGATCAGTGACCCAGTATAAGAGTATTAAGTCCCCAAACTCTCTACACTACCACTGGATCACAGCCCGAACATTACAGCTCACCATAGCGTCCAATTTAGAGTTGTTAGATGCTTGTTCCTGTACAGAGGAATCCAATGTACATGAGAGGTCTATCATGTGGACTTCACTCATTGTCTATCAATGCAGCAATGATTTTGGGGGTGGGGATGAAAGGAGGAGAGAAAGCAGAAGGAACATAAGGAACATTGGTTGCTATAGAAAGGGCAAAATGAAAGCTTTTGGGAGCTCAAATTCCAAGTAAATACATGTCATAAATGACTACTTAAAATCCAGATCTCCTCTGTAGAAACAATTAAAGCTGCATTAAAACCTCTGGCTCTTCCAGCCAAATGTAAAACAAGCTATAGCCTCATGGCAGACAATATTCAGGAGCAACAAGGTTGATTTTCTTTCATCCTTCATCAGTTACCTGGCAATGAAGTGTGTGATGCCAAATTCTGGTAGCGATTGCCATGCCTGAATAAACCTCATCTTCGCTTCAATAAGGCTCATCTGAGCTACATTCTGATGGGCCTCAAGGATTCTGGCAGAGATCTGAAAATTCAACAATCCCATTATTATCACAGCTTCTAGTAAGTAAATCCAAACCCAAGAGAAGAAAATAAAATGTGGAAAGACGCAAAAATCTGTTATAGGGTTAAAAGGACAGACACAACTAATTCTACCAAATTAATCATTGTTATGTACAAACACACACATAAAAAGACAGTCAATACCAGAAAAAACTTCCACTGTCACATGATTGAACATGGAAACCAAGAGGTAGCATTGCCTTCATACCATATTTTACGCTGAGTGACTCAATCTCCTGAAACTCTTCAAGCACCTCTGAATGTCAGTCTACAGTAAGCTTTGTGAAACACCGCTAATCTTCTATTACTCCCAGTTCTTGATTATCCCCTTTCTACAGCAGTCACAGATCACAGATAAATTTATTCCAATTTCCTAAAACTGACAAGCAGAAGAGATACTTTGACCTCAGATAGATTTTTTTAAGCTTGGATGTTATAAAACAGATTCATTGGATTACATTGTAAATACACAACATTGTACTTTGAAGTCACATAAAAGCTTTTGGAATAAGTCAGAAACTACATTCAATTCGGAGCGCTCAAAATCAAGCCGTTTACGTTTGGATCCAGTGGAGGTTTTCACTTCTGTATTTAACATTCAACAATTGTGGACACACAAAGTTCTTCCAATCACAGATTGTGAACTGTCCACTTACCAAGTCCCTTACATAGCCTGGCTGAAGAGGGCAGCACGAAGAGGAAAAGGAAGTCGAAAGAAAATGCAGTGAGAATAAGGTAACAAAAAGCACAAGAACAGCTTTTCACACCCAACTGCTTACCACCCCCCAAGAAAAGAAAATGCCTAATAAGATTAAGCAAATAACTAAAACCCACTAGGTCTGTTAAGCAGGCTCTGTGTGCATTCAATGTTAAAAAGGCAAAATAAAAATGTTCAATGAAAAAGCAACATTAGTGTTAAGGCAGCGTTATGAATAAGGAATTTAAACTTGCAGGAAATACAAAAGGAATCCAACTACTAAATAAGTTCAGAATTATCCAGCCCATTTAGCTTCAGCACAGTCTCTGCAAATAGGTACAGAAATGTTTATAACTTCTATTTGTAACTCAACTGGAAGATAGTTTGGTAATCTTAAAAATGGCCACTTATTCACCATACAAAAGCAAAGGCTAATGTTTGCCATCTGCTTCTTGCATCCTGTTCCTGAATCAAAGACTTTAGGGAATACCAGAGAAATCATCTCTTCTGCAAGTAGTTTTACCACCAAACTGCTAGATATCCATGCACATATCTAATGCAAGTCACATCTTGTTTCACATTAAAATGGGGCTAAAAAAAATTAAACAATGCACAAATATTTATTTTAAAAATCTGAGTTGTAGATATTCAGGTTTCAATGAAAAAGTGAAAAGTAATAATGAGTGTCCAGTATAAAGGAAAGCTTCATAAATACTGAATGGATGGGTTAAGATATTCATTTTCTTACGTATTAAAATTCAGAAAGAATAACTGGAAGGTTTTCTTAAGTCTCTTCTTGCTGTAAAGCATCATTTAAAAAAATACAGCAAATTTCTTCACCACAACTAAATTGTTTACAATTTTCTACCTTCACAAATGGAATTATATACACTGTTCTACCAATAAAACCCACTTCAGGAGGTAACTCTTCCAAATGTTCAATGATCTAGATAAGTGATCTAAAAAAGTGATGAGAAAATGTCATAACTTCTTTAAACTGCACAGTTAAGAATTGAGAAGCATTTGCAGAATTCATTGGCAGTTCATTAGCCCTTAAGGGACCAAGTGAGGGAACAATTTGATTTACTGCTGCAAACGTGAAAATACTTCTGTAATGACTGCTGGATGTAGCAACAAACAAATGCAGCTAAGCTCAGAAACCCTTCTGTGTACTGAAGTCAGCAAAGCTGAACTTTGACTCTAACCCCATAAACTGAACTAGCTGACTTAATTTCCCATGCTAGCTTATAAAGTCACATTCCAGAAATTATCTAAATGCTGATATCAAAGCTCATCCTCCCTTCTCTAACAGCCACATGACATTCAATGATAAATTACCTCAGTATATAGCTACGTGACCTCTGAGGCTACAAAGTGGTGGCTCCAATAATAAAAAACTGCAAGAGCCTGTGCAGATGCTAATACTCTCCACACAAACTGGAGAATTGTACAGTCACAATCTCCACAAGGTATTTTCGAGCTACTAATTTTACTTAAACGCTGCAATGAAACTATGGCAAATAACTAAATGTCACTTTGAGGTTATTCAGGTTTAACATACCCCAGCACAAGACCTGCATAGGCATCACGTGTACCCACACTACATATTTTAACACACAGCTGGCCATTCAGCCCACAAGATCAAGTCATAAGAGTTAATTTCAATAACAGCAGCATAGGTCAGCACTGCTGGTTACCCAGATTTCCCTTCCTAGGGATTTTTTTTCCATAGGAAGAGAGTTGCCAAGAGGAAGGAATTGTTACACAGGCAACAGGAACTGCCTTAAAATCAAACCCGCACAACTCAAATGTTAGTAACAACAAAGCACTCACAGAGAACTGAATAATAGTGCAATTGATAGAGCCTGTCCAGGCAGAAGGATGACAGCTCAAAGCTTCACGAGATTTTACTGTAAAATGTAGCGACGGTGTACTTTGTAGGTGAGCGCGGGTGCCGATTTGCAAAGCGATTTCCTTTTGGTTGATAGTTTTTTTGGTCGATAAAAAAAGTGCAATCTTACAACAGGATCAATGTAGGAATAAGCATCTATTCAGCAAGGTTTACTGAAGGCTGAAGTTGCCTCCCTCTTTCAAAATAGGATGCTGGAATTTCCCCTTCGTAAGTAGTTACACCTAAACACTGAAAATAGGCACTGCAGTCCAGGGGGATAGGGCACTATGCACTGCTTGGTTCATTTCTTGTTCTGAGTTTGCCAGATCAGGTGTGCAACAATATTTAACCGTAGAAGAAAAGGTTTAGTTTGCCTCATGTGGATGACCTGTAGTGCTTTTTTTAAATATAAATTGTAGTTGCTTATTCCTGTGATGATTTAAAAAAAACGCATTTCAACATTTCTTTCGACTGGAGCACTACCTCATAACATTGAAAGCTTGCTCCTCAGGAAGATTGGAGGCATTTAATCCGGCCCCGCTTGTGGAACAGGATCCCTAGGAACCAGATGGAACCCCTCCCTGAAGAGCAATAGCAACGCATGTTTGCAGCTTTTCAGGCTGTACATTATTTACCAGTTAAAATGCGTCATCTTTATTTTTGGGGGACAGAAACGGCAAAACCCTACTATTAACGGAAGAAAAATCAACAACCTCAACTGTCAGAAAGTTTGCAAACGATACTAGTACAGAGGAAGTTTGCACAATATAATTGAATATAATACTCCTGGGAGGGCAATGTTTTCCCTCCAGTAGATGACAAGTCAACCCCACTCACCAGTTACAATATTGTAAAATCTGAAACGCTGCTTGAACCAATGCATTAGTAGATGACTGGCCAGCTGTGATGCTACCTGCAGTTTCTTACTTTAATACATAATTGATGCAAATTTGACTTGAGGACCTACAGTTAGTTAGTAGAAAGCAGACAGACAGCATGCTATACAGTGCTACACAGTTAATACTGTGTATAATTCCAAATATTTTGTAACCCAAAGCTATCTGGCTGAAACATTCAACCTTGTAAACCGTGTTTTTACTCTTTAAACGGAAGTCATAATTGAAGATTTACATAAGCTCTGCAGTGAAACCAAATGGAAAAACAAATGAGGCAAAATACCTAAGAGCTAAAGTACCTGTTTGTTTTTATACTTTTTCAAATAGCGAGGAGAGACAAGACACTCAGGATTGATGTCTATTGAGTTCTGGTCTGTAATAAGCTGTGGGTCAGGGTTCAGATGTTGCATCTTCAAAAACGATAGAATATTCTGCACCTCAAGACTGTAGGAGCTGTCTGCCATTGTCTTGCCCTTGGATGCTAATCTACAGGCTGCCATCCACTGTGCATATTGCTTTTCCTAATCAGAAGAAAAACAGTTAGCTTCAAAGTACAAATATTTCATCATATTCTCAAGAGAATACACAACATTTTCAGAATTTGTTTAATACAACATTGGCCTCAAGAAGCTTCCTTTAGAATGATTATAGTTATTTTTTTAGAGAGGGAGGGGAGATGCTACTTCCCATTAATCAGAATTTAAATAATATTTACATTGGCTTTAAGATTTAATTACATTTATATTTTCCTGGTAACCTTGGGGGTTCCACATAAATTAATGAAGGTAAACAATGTTTAGCACAGGAAATATCTGTAGAAAAACACAACAAATCAGTACTTACATTATCACAGCGGAGCCAGATTTCATTCATCCCCTCAGCCACTGGTATCAGCAACTTGATATTGAACTTCTGGCCAGATATGTTTACATCAGGGGTCACCTCACATCCTGTTTCATTAAATTATACAGTACAGTTAACTAAAAACACTACAGGGAGACAGACTAATATTTAAGTCTAATCATGGGCCATATTTTCTGGAAACATAAACTGCATGAAGTTGGGTTAGTCTGTGACAAATCTGCTGACATTAGCAAGGAACTAAAATTGGTCTCAGTAGGGAAGGAGGGTGGAAAAAAATTACTGCTACTAGTGATTCCTGCTAGAAAGTGTACGTGCCTGTTTGCATGTGCTCTTACACATAGATAGACAGAGGTATTGTGTGAAGACATGATTACACACAGTTCAATAATGCATCCTTCCCCCCCTTCCCCCATCTCATTAAATGGCCCTGCCTGCCAAAATTCACCGTCCAAGCTCACACCTGCAGGATACTGCAGGAAGGTAGCAAACTCGACATTAAGAGTCAGCGTCTTCAGGGGAGGATGAAGGAAGGAATGATAAAGACACAAAAGTACTACTGATTCTTGGTTGTGATTAGATATGTATAATCCAAGTGTGAATTTAGTTGAAGAATGAGGTGCGAGAAGCAGCTTTGCAATTCAGGTCTTAGCATTCAACCAAACTAACTGCATAATCATTAAACATCATTAACACTGTGGGAATCATTTTATGAATGGTTTTAAAGGCAAAACCATCCACAGAATAAAGGAAGTGGAACCACAGAGAGGATGCAAGAGCAGCATATCTGCTTCTAGTTTCCTGTAACTGTTCTGACCTCTCGCCGAGTTGTTTTTGTAGTAAAGAACTTGCCGTGGGAAGTACAGTACAGTACACCCACCCTGCAGTCTCCCAATCAAGGTGTTTAAGTGAGTCTAATATTCCTGGCTTCTGTGACACTGCCTGCTATCCCATTCCAGGTGTCTCCTGGGGTGTAAAAGGGCTTGTTCTGGTGGGGTTTCTCAGATATGCTGATGCCACTCTATTCTGGCACAATATAAATAAGCAGCCCTTACCTCGCAGGTTCATCTGATGAGCAGGCGGTCCATGGGATTCATCTTTGCTTTTGTAGCAGGAAATGGAGGTATCTTTAAATGTGCACCAATACTGTTTGTAACCCTTCAGTGTCAGTTTCTTTGGCCTGCAATACACAAGATGGTTGAATCACTCGCAACATTTCAACAAGAGTCACATCAACACAATGTTGATTTCACACAAAGAAATCAAACTTTTAGACCATTTTACCAAGCCAACTGAAAGTAACTATGTCAGGCATTCACAATGGTCCAAAATGTTTTTTTTAAAAAAAGATTCCTATTTGAAGGAGCATCAAAAGAGTAGAGAATTAGTTTTGTGTTAAAATTAATCTCAAGAGTGAAATAGAAATAAATCTAAAAGCTGACATTATCTTTGGACTGTTCATATGTTGGATAACTATAATGTACAACTATAGTGGGATAATGTAAGGAACTATTGAGTTTTGCTCAGATCCAGTAGCACATGTGTACAAACAGAAAAAAATGCAACCAAGCAAAATACACATTACAGAAAACCATATGTAAACATCACAGGCTGTTCTAATACAAATTCTTCAGATTTCCTTGCCTAAATGTCTATCTGGGCAATAGATAATGTGTGGGTAGTGAGGAGAAGGTGCATGGGAAAAATGTGGCCAAAATCAAACTTGGAAAGGATAAACAAGTAAACACGAGAGACTTACTTGAAGACTTTAATATAGTCGGCCAATTCAGGAATGGAAGTAATATCACCCTAAAACAAGAAGTTCCAAGTTATCAACACAATTACAAAGCAAAATTATTCATTAGTTTTAAATACAAGCTAAATTCACAACTTTAAAAAAGATCACATTCTTTGGTTATATAAATAGAACACATTCATGATGCATTCACATTGCAATACACATGATCCTGGGAAAGAGCTTATGCGCTCACATGGTATACAGCAAATTAGTGGGTTTGTGTTCTAAATGTAAGAAATCTCATTTCAAAGTTTAAATTCGGGTCGATCACATGGGGAATTCAGCTTAGGACATTGCCTAATTGCACAAGAGAGACTAAGATTTTAGCGATTACCAGAATAGTTGACGTTTTGCCACCTTCCAAAGTAATCTCTAAGTCAGAAAGAGCTGCATCGACTTCATCCACTTCCTTTTCACTGTTGTTCATGTGGTTCTCGGATGACATGATGGACAGTTTGTTGATATGATACTGGAAGAGACAACATGTGAGGTTATAAGCAACCAGAAGGTGCTGCTGAGTCTTTCAAACAAAGTCTCGCACTTCACTATCTATCCATTCCTTCATTCCAACTGGCAACTGCATGGATGTGTAGAATCCTCGTGCAAGAAAACCACAAGTGTTCTCTTTCCAGATATCGAAAATATCACAGTGTAGCACTACAAAGGATCCAATAACTCTTACAATATTCTCAGTTTTAACTGTAATAACACTTCATTACTCGTTAAGTTGATCAACAATATTTCTGAAACCAAGTAATCACATGGGCTAACATGGCAACTTATTTCTACCAGAATTATGTTACCCAGATTCTCTGCGTATGGTTTCAAGTTTCAATGTTTCCATCATTTCAGAATATGTTGAGCAACAATACAACAGTTAAGGAAGTGCCAAAATATTACACACACAGAAACTCTTTAATCATCTAGTGCCATGTTTTTGCTGCCAATTTTGAGCCTTCTGATGGCCTACTGGGAAAAAGCATTGCCTACTAGGCAATACAGCTCACAAGGTCATGCTTTCCAATCCCAGTTTGTGCTGCGTTAGCTGATCTCAGACAGAGCAGCATTTGCACACTAAAATTGGCCTCAACACCCTCATTTTTCTGAGGAGGTGGAAGATGAGCTGGATTCTTGCTCCCAACGGCTAATCAGGTTACTCCTTTTGGAAGGTGCACGGAGGAAAGTTTAGGATTGAGTTGGACTGCGATATTCCCTTCGGTACCAGAGAACATCCGAGGAACTATGCCCCTGTGAGGGAGGGGGAGAAAACCCTTCAGAAATAACAGATTTTATTCTGCAAAACATCTGCCTTGATGAATGTCTTTGGACATTCATCAAGGCAGATGTTTTGCAGAATAAAATGCCCACCCTATTGCAGGCATATGAGACTGTATGTTTTTTTTCTCAAATAATTCAGGGTGCTTTATAGCAAGTGTGTGTGTGGAGGGGGTGTGTGTGGGCGGTGGTGGGAATCGACCTGTACAGAGTCGAGACAAACAGATCTCTTGGACAGACTCTCATTTGAGTTTTATGACTTTGTAACACCTGAACAACAATGTCCCACAAATTTCAGGAAAATTACAACAGAGATGCAGAAGCAATTCCTCACTTGTAAAGCCGCAAACATCATCATTTCTTCCTCTGTGCACTCGATCTCTTCTAGGAGAATAGCCCATTTGGCCTGTTCAAAAAGTTGATTGATTCTTACTGCGTCATACTGAAATTTGAGGGGAGAACTATCATTTAGAATAGTCATAATTGGTAGAGATTTCCAGAGAAGAAACAACTGAACAGAGTACACGAGCCAATCAGATAGCAATTTAACTCGAATTCACTAAAGATTTTGAAAGGAATCGCATAGAAATAGTCTCAGCACACTTACAAAAAGTATTTTGATGTTAAACATTTGTTAAAATAATCAAATGCTGTAATTTCTAATATCATTTATAGGTTTGCAATCTAAACAGGGCCACGCTACAGGGCGCCAGAAATAATATTAGGTCTTGCACAAGGACAAAACTCATACCCAGACCAGTTATTTTAAGGAACCCTTGACATTTCAAACAATCTTCTTTACGTGCTTGACTGAAAAAGATACAGTAAAACTGCTGATAACTTGTCACTCCAAGGGAAAAGGGCTCAGTGACGAGTTTTCTGGAGTGGCGTGTTAAACGTGTGTATAAATATATAAATAAATGCAGGTGGGATATTGACAGCACGATGACTTAGGTGGTAGTGACAAGTTAAGCCAGGGTTGAGTTATCAAGAGTATACTATATTGTGTGAACTATAATTAACTGCATAACATGCATCAAAGGCTGCAAAAGAAAGATGAGTGCCAGACCCAATTCATCCAATGCAGCCACAGGATTCCTTCCAATCAATTCCTACTGGTCCTTCACCAAAATGTTATGATTTGTGCCTTGTAGACCTTTCAGTTTATCCACGTAAAAGATTTTACCATTTTGTTTTGTACAGTGTTATGAATCATTTTATGATTAAAAGTTAAAAATCACTTTTTTCCTGCGGATTTTCTAAGAGATTTACTTTTTTAATGCGTACCTTTGGATTTAAATCAAAGAAACTATAATATTTGAATCGGAGCAGTAAAGCTTCATTATCCTTCACATCTTGTTCCATCAGGGACCTTGATGAATCCATCCATCTAAAAAGGATAACATGCAAAGAATGTACAATAAAGGTTTATGCATCTTCTGGGTTGTTACATAACATATTCCAGCTCACGTCCAACAAATTGAGCAGTTAAGAAGAAAAATATCTGCACTTACCCTTTATTGGTCTTTGCCTTGTCAAGGAGAGTCTGGGGTTTGAAAAGCTGTGCCAGAATATCTGGAGAAGTGACGGGCTGGCTCACCGCAAGAACACTAGGATTTCCTTCTGACAACGGGCTGTCCCCAAACCAGGCCGATGTTGGGGAAAGTGGACTACCGTCTCTTGAATCGTATGTTGGAGTCATAGTTTTGCTATATAGTCCTGGACTGGAGTATATACTTCCTAAAGAAAGGCAAGTTAAATAAAACATAATTAGCACCAACACTTTGTACAACGCCCAGTGAATTTCACATCAACAAGATAAATAATTGCCAAACACCAATAATGCCAGTCAATATGCAAGCCTTGATTTTTTTTTGGAAACAATGAGAAATGGGATGGATTCTGATGATGGTGAAAACAAACACAAATAATTGTGCATTTCACAGCAACACACTGGAGCACAAGCCCTGTGTGAAAATTGAAAGCTTACCTTTTGCTGGACCAATATAAAGAACATCTGAGCCTACAGAAGAGGAAAACAGAGGAAATGAGAAGGGCAGAGTACAGTATAGGAAGGGCACAGTGCAGTGCAAGAAGGGCAAGAGTGTAAAGGGAGAAGGGCAGAGAACAGGACAAAGCCATACAGCACAGTTGCTGCCAATTAGAAATTATATATGAATTCTCAAGTGACATAGAAGCCTACACAAGCATTTGTTTGCTATAGGAAAATACAAAGCTGCTTAGCTCTTAGCAGTACAGCAAGTTATACTTTGTGTGTTGCAGTGCTTTCTGGTTTGGAGAAGAAAAAAAAGTGAGTTTAGTGATTTTTGCTGAAAGCAGGCATGAAAAAGTGCTTTGTTTAAAGCTACCAGTGGACAAAAGCTGCAAGAATCATCAACGGTCCCTCAGGGATCCCCAGGAATGACACACAATCATGGTGGGATCACCTCATACACAGCTTTGCCAGGCACAACAATCCTTTCAGGATTCATCTCTAGACCAAGATCCGAAGTATTCTGGCCAGGTCTCAGATGGAATTTAGCAGAATAATAACAAACAGCAATTTGTCCTCCCCAGTGTTAGGATCCAAGAGTAACTCTGCAGTATGTGAACGATACTTCGGTTGAAAACATGCCTAAAAGGGAGGTTCAAAAACATTCACAGCTCCTGCAAGCTGTGAAGTTGCAAGTTTCAGATAGCAAAACATTTCTCCTCCAGATTTGTCTCAAGTTAAAACCACTGTTTAAATGACTGTTTAAATCTGACTTTCTTCAGCTATGACAGCCAGGAACATAAAGCAACTGGGCATAATCAGTTTTTGGACAACTCAGAGATTGCTAGAAAACATTCCCCACCCCCCACTCATTTCAAGCATATTTGTAAAGATTCACGTACACAGCATCAGGCCCTGCTAGCCGCAGGAAAAGGGAATACAAGCAGACGGTTTACGAGGATTTACGGTACTGCTCTTCCAAGAAACAGTTTTATCCAGCAAACAACACGTACTTGTCACAGTGTTTGTTCACGACTTTCACACGTCGATGTGGAAACTGTGAACATTCCAAACAAAAGGACAGTTTGCTAAAGAGGGCAGCAACAATTTTGCAGCGAGGTAACAGAACAGTGCAACTCAGTCTCCTTGTGCACTGAAAATCTCTGCTTCTATAGAAGCATTCCAAAAGAACCACAACTGCATAAGATAAGTGTCTGCAAAACTCAAAGTCTATGGCACACTAAAAAGTCAACCCTTTGGTTACTGCTATGTCTATGGAAACTTAAGCTTCCTTTGGTGCCAACTGCTTTTTGTCAATTTTCAGATCATGCAAAAACACTGAAAATTACAGTAAAAGTTACTTAACCGTTAAAATTGTTGCATGACTGTAAATAACCTTGCCAAAACACTGAAAAGATTCTTAAATAAAAAATAATGTACAGAAACTCCTGGTAACTCATCAGTGGTAGTGACAAGTTAAACCAGGGTCGAGTTATCAGTTTACTGTAAATAAATCATCTGTGCTCAGCAAGAAGTTCATTTTATTCATTTCAATATCTATTTATTGCAATGGGTCTATTATCTACTAGCTATAATCAGTTTTAAAACTTTTTTTAATATAAAAGTTAGCAACTCCTACATTCTTTTCTACTTCCTTCAACCTTCCTCATCTCTCCTTAACCAAGGTGGGAGCAATTTTATTTTCAAAGCATTTCCTTCACTGGTTTTAAAGATTGGTTTTGCTAGCAATGAAAAACCCAGACTTTGAAGTCTGACTTGTCAAAACCAGGAAGCGCATGCTGACAATAAACACTCACTTGTGGCCCCAGTGCCTGACCCTGGAGCTAAGTTGGAGCCCACTGAAATTTCCAATCTGATGAGGGCATCATGATCACGGTACACATGTACAAAAGATGCCTGGAACTGCAATATTTTCTCAGCTCCTCGGCGTGATGGTGGTGGGATTGTAACTTCAGTCAAATTCTGAAGCACGTTTCAGGTAAAAGTTTCCTCCTTCTCTAGAAGTTCCAGCTGTTATAAAAGAATTTTGGAACTGAACCCTTTTGAACCTGTAGGAAACCGACTCCATTTTTGGAAGTTGCAGGCTGTTATAAAGTCTAGTATTTTGCTGCCAAATACCATCATCTTAAAGATACATTTTCACCTCTCCAAAACAAAACCATGGTTTAAAAGGTCAGTCTTCCTGAAAGTGACCTCGCCAAACTTCTCAATTATAAACCACATGGGCTTAGAAAGTTTTAAAGGTAACATGAAACATGAGATACCTCCAATTGGAAACACTTGGAATCTTTGCTTAAAACAAATGTTAGTGAACATTCAATACAACAGTCTACATCAGAGTTACTTCAAATGATGGGGGAATTGTGATAGGCAAGCAACTTAAGGACAAAAGGAGGAAGCCAGCGAATCCTCATTGAACATTGCCAACATTTTCCCCTTACACAAAAGGATTGAAGCCATTTGGTGCAGTTGGCCACCTTGGTGAGCTCAGCACGAACCAAGATTCAGACCAGCTACTTTTCAGTCAGTGTGGCTAAGTTCTAAACTTGGCAGTTACTTTAGCACGGAAGAAGCTGTGGACTATTTAATTCTCAAGATGGAGTGAAGCATCTGTCCCATTTACGATTTCCATTGAAATCAAGGTAGTACATTGAACAACTTGTCATCAATAAATACCTATCCCAGGAGAGAAGTTTGAATTGTAAAGGTAGCTAGACCAGGGGCAACCAGAGGGATTGGTGTGTGACATTTTATAGAAATGATCTATCATTGCATAACCTACATATCCAGTAGTTCAGTAAATCTATTGCCCATCAGAAACGACACACATCACATTGGAAACACATCTGGAACTTGGCTGGTCTCAGTCAGGATAGCAGAAGGAGCGTTATTATTGAACACAGTGCCTCTGAGCGGTGGAGCCAGAAAGAAAACAACCAAGATTCCAGCTTGCTATCCAGTGACCCATTGGAAAGCATATGTGTGGAAGCCAGCGGAAGGACAGGATTCAAATCAACTGCAACACCCCCGTGGTGAAATAGTCTTCCCACACTTATGGTCTCAGCTACAAAAAACATCACACACTGGGCAACTATTTCAGAAAAATGTTCCGTGCATTCTTCTGCTTTAAAACGTTAAGGTAGGCTGCTTGTAGCTTTGTAAGAAACAAAACCCAATAAGTTTTTCTCCAATCCAATTCACTTAACGTCGACAAGATTTTAAAATCGATCAAACTAATACGGGAATTACACATGCACCATTGATGGAGATGTCTTCATGAAATCAGAATTTTCACAGGAAGGAAACGGAGAAGCTTTTCAGTCCATCAAATCTTCTCGTTCATTTTATTAGCCCTAAGAATCTTTCCAATCCCATTCCCTCACCATTTGTCTTCACTCAAATAAGAAACTAGTAACATGAGTAAACCAGTGAGACATGTATATAAACTAATGGAGATCTGCTGCAAGGTAATGAGCTATTATACTGAGTAGTTATAATTCATTGTTGTTTACGATAAATTATAGAGGCAATTCCACAAAATTGGTACAATTAAAAGCCTTGAGAGAATGTTAACCACTTAGTTAGGGTATGGTGTTGGGAGTTTAAAAAAAACACTCATTAAGTGAGGTGAAAAAGCTACAGCTGTGAAAAATGTCAATGGTAATTAGCCCCATTTAATACCGATGAAACCCAGAAGCAAACCATGCAAAATAACTCAATGCATAAGCTTTTTTATATTTCCATTAAAAAATTCTCAAATTTTAGATCGACTTTCTCCAAATTCCCAAGTAAATATTCTGCTGCAATTTACAAGGAACTATATTAATAATAATAATCCTTGCATTTGATATAGCGCCTTATCATGTCTTTGAGATGTTTCAAAGCGCTTCACAGAATATACTGTAAAGTGAATTGCCTTTTTTTCCTGGGTGAAACTAATGATGTTCAATGCAAGCAGATTCTTCATGTTAATCCACCATAATAAAGTGACAGAACTATTTTAAATTCAGTAAATTGAAATCCTATTTTTAAGCTTTGTGAGAGATCTGAATTCCTCCAAACAGTGAATTTAATGAATGATCCATTAGTGACACTGACAAGCAGTTTCCTTGGAGCAACTTTGACCTAACATAGTCAAAAATGAAAGGGGCGAGATAAAATAAAGATGACAAGTGAATGATCTCATCATCTGTTTAGCAGCAGGCAAAAAGAGTCGAAAAGTGACCTACACAGTTTTTATAGTAATGAGTTCCACTGGAGTTAATAAGATCTTGTGTTCATTTTTCAAGCAATTCGTTTAGTTTACTATATATGGAAGAAAACAACCCATGCTCTGTTCTAACAATGACATCATACTATGTGTGAGCTTTGAACATGTAGGGCATTCGTGTTTGACAGGTTTACTTACTGCAGCCTCTGAACAATTGTGTGCCTGCCAGAGTGTCTAAAATTTAGCAAACAGTGTGGAGGGCTCACGTTTTAAGTCTCCTCACAGCTGATTTACGAACAATAAAACGTGGCATTCAGTTGCAAAAGTGTTCATTTCACGAGTTTTACTTGCCTGTAGTTTTAACTTTAAAAATGATCAACATTATTTGTATGTTTATTGCAAGGAGAGGTGGAAGGGGTGGTGGGTGGTGGAGGGGGGAAAGAGGGCTGTTTAAATTACCATCAACACTGCCACGGCTTCAGAATTGTGTGGTGCAGCTACTATCAATCAACAGTGACAACCCTTTGAAGACTATAAAAATGTAAAATATGTAGGTAGGCAAAAGCTCTAGAGTTTCTGTGGGCTCCAGCGATCAGCTCTACTAACTAACTATTCTCAAAAATAAGATCAGAAACAGCAAGTTTTCTGGTATGGCTCAAAGCTTGCGCATTTCCAAAAATTATGTGAATGTAAGGGCGATACACAAATGCTGCCAGGTTTACTACTGTATATGAGCTGACACAAAGCTGCACGTTGGATATTTGTACTATCCACAGAGCCATAAAAGAACAATTTGTCTGCAGCTGGAGAGTGCATAACCTCTGCGTGGAAATTCCCAGTTCATCCACTGCACCAGTGATAAGACTAATCATGGGACACTGTAACTTGTGCTTTACAATTAGGGCAATGGGTGAGGGCAAAGCAAGCAAGCTGGTTTCATATACAACTCATTCCCAAACTTCAGAAGAATTAACTGCGCCTGAAAACAACTCACAAAAAAGCTAGTACCGAGCAGCCTGTTTTGGACTAATGTTTTTACAGGGGAAGTGATGAGGTCTAAAAAAGGGCAACTGACACACTCATAAAGACAGCACTTCATTTCCAATGATGTCTCAAATCCAAAGAAAAATACTGACGTTTTCTTCAAACATCAAGGCTTTTCAAACTTTAGTTCTAAATCGCTTGAATTAACCTACCGTTAAACCCAAAGTCTGCAATTGTGACATTTATGTCTTGCTTTAAGAACCAATGTACCCAACAGTACATTTCAGATAAAGATATCCAACTGCTGGCAATAAAAACAAGTTTCCTGAAGGCAAGGACGCTGCCTCAGATTCATTCCCTCCGACCTTGGCTTCTCAAACCTTTCGCTTCTTCCTCTGTTTTTCTCCCTTCCTGTGGGTGGGGGGGGGGGGGAGAAAATCACTAATGTTGTGGTGTGATTTCATTGTACCAGCCATACTCCAGGGCCTTATTCAATTTGCTATTCTTTATGTGCCAGCCCAGATAGCATAGCCCAGAAGCTACACAACCAAGGGGTGCAACTCAGCTGAGCCCAATCCAACATTTATATAAGAGAAATTCACAGCAGCTATCATAGGGCAATGATCCACAAATAGGAATCCGTTGTCCCCCTTCACATTCCCTAGACCAGGGTGCATGTCTAAAGCAAAGCTCTCATCACTTCCTCAAACCAAAATCATTTAGGTCACACCGATTGGTGAGGCCTTGCTGTAAATATGACTAATGACCGCACAGGGCAGTGCCTTTAACAACTGAGTCACACCATGCAGCCTGAATTGGATTTTTATAAAAACAGACATCTGTTTGTCTTAAAATTACACGATGACTGCACTCAAACCTATTTTGGGAGACATGCTCGGCAACTCTCCATGCCATGACTGTCCGACACATGAAGAGTTTGGCTGAGTAGCTGTTAACAACGAGGGAGTCAGCCATCAACAATGTCCTGGGTCACTACAGACCTGTCCATGTTGTCGGCTTGTTTACCTCTGACAGCCAGTTCAATTTCCCTTCCACACCCACCCCATGCAGAATTTTGATGGATTGGTATTCATTTAAGCTTTCAAATTGGCATTATGCAGAATTACCTTGTGCTTGGTTGTTCTGAAAACAAATGTTAATATGGGAAGTGTGGCATTTAGTTATTCTAGGATGAGGGGAGCTCACAGATAGAGTAATTGATATTTTAAAAAAATGTGTAGGACTGGTCAGGTGGCCCGCAATGTCCCTTTCAGATGTTTCTGGACACTTCTGTGAACACTCTTCATCGCCTTATGGACATGTAGCATTATGACCTGGACAGCTGCCAACCCAATCTGGCAAAGGTACCCACAGCAAACAATGAGATACAGGTTTAATCTCAATCATCTTCAAAAACCCGCCACCAACCACTTTGAAGAGTCTTTTTTTACTGGTCGCCAATGTTAGTAATTATAATAATAACAATCCTTGCATTTGATATAGCGCGATTGGCTATAAAGAAAGTTACCGAGAAACACAAGGCTTTTGTTACTTATCTGATAAGCAGGGGGGTGGAGTCAATTATAAAGAGAAGCAAAATCAGGTAGAAAATAATAGATCAAGAAATCACACAACGCAACACAGCTGAGTAACTCAAGTGTTTCTCAGCACACGTGCAGTAAAAAGGGTAAAGGAAAAATACCAGTCTGCTTCAAATGACAGGACGGCTGAATTCAGGGACAAGGAAAAAGGTTATTAAATAATTTTATGGTAAATAATGTACATAAATTCCAAGTTACGAGCAACTTGCTTGTGCAAAGTAATTTGTCATTATCACAATTCCACTGCAACTCTTTGCATGAATATAATTTTTTCTGACTCCTACCCAATATCAACAGCTTAATTCACCAGGAAATGTATTTAACGTGGTTACAGAATACCACATTAAATTAGACAACCCTTTTTTGAAGAGTTTGCCACAAACAAGAAGCTCTTGCTAAATACCTGCAGGAGAGTAGCACAGATCAGTGCAGCTCGGGCCATTAATTTCAGTTGAGGGCCTCTTTGCATCAGGCTGAGAAGCCAGCAATCTAACCTTTTGCACATGGCTCTTTCTTTCCACTTTAACAAGAGTGCAACACACAATTCTGCACATACCTGATCCCGGAGTAATTAAAGGTCCCTCTAATTCTTGTGCCTCGTCATCAAACTGGTCTTTATCATCCGGCTTTCTTTTCTTCTTCTTTGTAGGATCTTTAGGTTTTCTCAGCAGTGAGAGCTCTTCGGGATGCCTTATATCTGTTACAAAAATACAAAAGGAGCATTATAGGAGATAATTGGAGGCCACAAGACATTCATGAAACATAACCTAGTAATATGAGCAACGGTCACAAACACCTCAACAAAAGAAAACTCGCAGGAATCGGTGTAAAATCCCATGAGAAAACTGGTATGAACAGAACAGATCCAATTATCAAAGACCGCAAGCCTTTTTTATGCAACCAAAGAGCGCTCTGAGATGCTACCCTGTGTGACGGGTGCAATATAAATACAGATTATTATTGTGTACATTCAGCTTTTATACAATGGCATTGCCTTCATTCTGCTGGTTTCTTCTAAACGTGCAAAATGGATCCAATTGTTTATAGAGTGGGATACTTATCTCAAAACCCCCCAGAGAATATAGCCCAGATGCACAAAAGGTGGTAGTGGGGGGGGTGGGATAGTCTCCTCTCCCTGATGCAAAGGCATCTACAGACGGTTTCAGTTCACAATGGTTGTAAAACAAACTAATCCCTTTCAATGTTAAGTCATGGACAATGTGCCATAGCGTGGCAGGCATGTGAAACAAACACCACACTCGTGGAGCTAGAAGTACCCAGTGACTGGCTTTAGCCAGTGGCAGAAGCAGATCTATTTGGATGAACAGTTATGTCTGACATGTGCCATTCTGTGCTTTATATTCCACCTTTCACATGGCTGTAAAAAAATATTTAGCCATCCCTTCCTCCCATTCAAATAAAGCAAAAGGGATATGTGAGTGCATAATTATTTAAAATAGTTAGGGGCAGGGAGGAAAGAGATTTTGAAAAAGAAACGTTTATTGAGCTGTGCTAGAAAAAGTATTAAACGATTTTCAGGTGTGACATTTCTTTGACTTTGTCACAACATGAGATTAAAATGTTTTCCAAAAATAAAAACTTATTCCTACATATGAAAAAACGTGTATGTTTCAAATCTGTTTTCAAGGTATTTTGCTCTGTTGTTCATCTGCTGTGTGTTACTGATTACTGCACACTTGTATGCAAAGTACAGTACTATGAACAGCAGATTTCACAATGTGCCAAAATACGTGCAGACCAAAGAAGCTGAAATGGATACAGATCTGTGATGCTGTGCAGCTTCTATTTAGAATGTGAAACTTAGTAATGAGAGATTTTTTTCAGATGCTTCAGCACTTGTATTTCTGTTACTTTACAAAGTAAACACAGGCAGGCAAAGTAACAGACCACCTCTTCAATTAGCTTCTACAGAACATACTTCAGAACTGGTCACACAATGTGCGTTTCAGTAAAGTAGATTTTAATATAAAAATGAGATCTTTCACTGCTATTTCTAGCCAACTTCAGCTGGATGTGAAGCGGTCTAAAGCATGGCTTTCTCCACGTACAGTGGAGTTGTACAACAGCTGGTTTGTTTTTTCCCTCCTCTCTTTCCTCCTCTTCCCCCCGGCCCCCACCCTCCGTGCTGCTGAAGGAGGGTACATGCCATTAAAGCTAACTAGCTATATTTGCCCAATGACTTACACAAAGTTGAATGTTGAGCTGAATTTATCTTGTACTGCTGCCCACCATCAGCTTTTGACTTTGGTGCAAGCTATTCTACCTCTGGAGGTTCAGAGACTCCCTCCACCACCCCCCCACCCACTCAACAAAAATGACTTCTTTGGCACATCTGGAGGCAACAGCACCCAACATTACAGCTGTGGGTGGCGGCTGTAACTCACACCACTAGTATACAACAAGGCAGCAATGTGGTGTTCCACTGGCCTGTGTGAATGTTCTGAAAGTAATGCTGCATACCCAGACTGTTTTCAGCATTTTCCGAGCCAAGGTTAAATATTTAACCAACATTCAAACATGGGCCCAAATGAAAAGGCATTCCTTTTTTGAAAAAAAGTGGCAATGCACCAATTAAGGTATCAATCCAGATTACGGATTTCTAAAGAATCTGAAGTTCTGAACAAAAAAAGACAATTGTCCATTTAAATTGTGGTATTGCTCTTTCAAGCAACTCTGGGACACAAATACAGTTTTATTTCAAATGCACAATTCTAGGAAGAGATTCTAATAAACTACTGCTAGACCTGCCAAATCGCTACACAGGTACCCCTGACTCTTAAAAAGGCAGTAAATCAATTTAAACAGTCACACTGTTATCGACCTGTGACATAAATGCAGCATCTTACAATGCTACCCTTATACATTAAACAGCTTTTTTAAAATAAATGATGGTTTCATTTTCAGTTCCTCTCTCTCTCTCTTGGTCTCCCCACTCCTCCTCCTGCCCAAAAGCACAGACTCTCGTTATGCAATTCAGTTGGCATCAGCGTCCCCAAGCAAATTACTCATGTGGCCATGCTTCACAAGCGAGGCTAGACTGCGAGTGTTGTTAAACTCTTTAATTGTGTGTGTGTGTGTGTGGGGGGGGGGGGCAATTTCACACTAGGCAAATTTAAACTGGTTACATACTTGCAGGGCTGTGATGTATCCTTGTCTGTACTATGATGGTGAATGTGGCGGTGTGGGAACTATAAAGGGTTTTAAATCTATACCCGATATTCGGATATTGTAAACAATCTTGTTCATTCAGGAAGCCTGAAGTTAAAATGATGTGTCTAGTGGACATTTGGATTTGTCCTTTAAGCTTCTAGGAAAGGGAGGAGTGTACAGGAAAGAGAAAAGAGAACCATTCGGATACAGTGTGGCCAATCTCCAATTCTGGATAGAGAACATACGTCAACTGTTGACACCTAAAATTACATAGGACCATACTGGCTGTGAGAAGTGTATGGTTGTGTCCAATTATTACAACAAGATTCCATTTATAGAGCGCCTTTCACGTCGGGAGGACATCCCAAGGCACTGTACAGTTGGGTCAGGACCCGAGCAGGGGGGAAATGGTCAGGGTGAGGGAAGGGAAGGGAGGGAGGGAGCGAGGAGGGGTAGAGAGTTGAGAGGGGAGCTGAAGGCACGGTCAAAGAGAAAGGTCTTGTGACCGGCCTTGAAGGAGAAAGGGAGGAAGCAAGGCAAAGGCACTGGGGGATAGAGTTCCAGAGCCTAGGGGCTAAGAGGCTGAAGGCCTGGCCACCGATGGTAGGGCGGTTGGGGCGGGGGATGTGGAGCAGACCTGAGTCAGAGGAACGGGGGTTACGGGCAGGTAAGTAGGGTGATAGTAGGTCAGAGAGGTAGGAGGGAGCAAGGCTGTGAATGGCCTTGTAGGTGAGGATGAGGGTCTTGAATTAGGCTGGTCAAGGTACTCTCTTGCCTACTAGCAACAAGTGGGAGCAGCTTGTACAACACAATGCTGCTTCCATTTTTTAAAAAAATCAAATAGAAACATCACCTTCAAGGTTGGATCTACAGCACTCAAATAATTCAAAACTTTTTTATAGTTTTTTTTCAAAAACATTCTTTGCCTGGTCTTGTTAGTCCCCCGTCCAAACTCAGCCAAAAGTGGGAATGATCAGACTACAAACAGCACTGCAACTGTAAAATTTATCATGTTTCACATAAGACCAGCAGCATTCAAGCCTTGAAGCATTAGGCATTCATGTTTTTTTAAAGAAAAAATATGCAATCATGTCTTTCTGAAGGCCATTGAGTTCTATTGAGTCAATAAATACTACAGATACAGTTCACAATAAGTGCTCTCTTTTTCCAAGACTTGAGATAGCACACTATCTGCTGAGTTTCCTTCACTCATCAACAAAGTGTCCACTGTCCCAAAGTGCAATATGACCTAAATGAACAAATCATTTTCTCAGAACTGCTGCCGTTCTGTAGAACGGAAGCCAGCCTTCTGGCAACTGCAATGCTGAATAGCTAAGAAAGCAGTTTGAATTTTAATGAAGTACAGCAGTCCGACACATACCAAGGCCATGGTTATTCTAATGCATCTTTACAGAAAAATTAGGCTGTACAAATAAGCTCTTTAGCAGAGGGCACCGAGAAAGGAAATGGGGGATTTTAAAGATGTTTATCAAAATCAGTTACAAATAAATTATTTTCTAGGAATCTTTTTTTTGGATAAGGGAGAAAAGTAACTGGACAAAGTGACTCTTGAAGAGTTCAAGAATACACAGGCTGTGTGTGGCTGAAGGCTTGGCATCGGAGCACATAGAGCGAGATGGGATAAGGGTAGGATTGTATAAGATATGGTGGGGCTATAGAATGATTTTAATGAAGATCAGGACAAGGATCTTAAACCCCTTGGCAAGTATGTATATTAATGGGTGTGGGCAGTCTTGTGCCGTCACAATCACTACATTCTAAGAGACTTTTTTTTAAAAAACATCGGGTGGTGTGGTAGCTGCAAGTTTTTCCTCGGTCTCATTCGGCAAAAACAGGAAAGAGGAAGCTTAGAAACAGATTCCAGTGAACACAATTGTGGTGTAAGTAAATATTTGGACCATCATGGCATGCACTGGATTTTTGGGGTTGCAGTTTCAACTTTAGCTCAATAAGTCAAACTTTAATCTTTCCAAACCAACAGCCCTTGCGAAAGATGGGTATTAGGTTGAGCTGCAGAGTTGATCAATAATGCTCTGCAAATAATAAAACAGGCACAAGTCAAAGATCAAAAGCCGACGGGAACCAATTTACAAGTGTAAGTAAGGCCTGTCGGTACTCACTGAATGTTTTGCAGATGTCAGACACTGCTTTGAAGACTCTGTCAGAGAAGTTGACTTTCACTTTCACAGACTTCATGTTAGGTAGCTGGAGGCGGAGCACCTTGTGCTGTGGTGTGTACATCAGCTTGGCGTCGGCTTGCACACCATATTTATCTAAGGTCCAGTGGGTTTTCAGGAGCCAGGTTTTTTTCTTCTCCCACCACAAAGCATGGTCTGACCAGTCTTTCTTCACATCTGCAAAAGAGATTCATCACTTGTCAGCGGCAATAATTGGTCTCAAAAATCATGCGATTAAATTTTTAGTTACGGGGAATATGCAGTGACATTTTTAAAACATCTGTTCAAATGAATTCTCCCTCATATTCCACCTTGCCAACTCTGACATCAATGGCAGCTAATGCTGTATTCCCACAAGAATGCACTCAGCACAGTATAATGGCTTCAAATGGCCTCTTCTGCTTCTGGAACTCTGCCTATACTCCAAGAGAATCTCACCAAATGTGGCGCTTTCAACAGTCGCAAGAATCAATTCACAAGACAGCTGGCCTTGAGTAGGAAGAGCAAGAAACTGCATTCATCAAGAATGCCTATTTTCATGGAGTAATTCCCTCTCCGCTGTTTACATAATGTTTCTCCTTCTTTGTTCCCAGCTGCTATGCAGTCACAACACAATGCGCGTGTGTGTGTGTGTGTGTGTGTGTGAATGTATCCAAACCAAACAGAGTTCCTTGCATCCCACCTATACATGGAGGTATGCTGGAATGGAATGCTTACTCTCTCCCAGGAAAGACGCATCTTGCTTATCTAATTCCAGAATGTATTAAAGTATTAGGCACAGGCTGACAAAAGCCAAGGCTAGGGGATCCCCAGACAGTGCGCTGAGATACTGCAGGAGTCTAACCGGCTAAAACAGCAGAGCTTGCAATTGATAGCACTGTCTGGCAAGCTTTTCCGCTGTTTGTCCAGCTAGGACTAACCTACCGCTGGGCTTTAGCCTGCAGGAGTAACGGGAGCTGAGTAGGAAGAGTCCCTGCCCCCAGTGACAAGTCTGCTGATCCAAGTTCTCCCGATAAGCCAACATGGTTGTGCTGTCATCAGCAGTGCCCTGGAGTACGGGGGACCCACCTGGCTCAGGAACTGGACTACTAAGACCATCACAGACAGTGGGCTCAATTCTGACATTCCGTTGCCAAACACGTCACCTTGGAGCCAATTCAGCTCCAAGCAAACCCAATTCTTTTCAGGCTCCATTTTAGGCCGGCTTTCAGGATTTTCATTAGAGTATGCACCTCATTGTAAAACAAAGTACAATACAGAGTAATGTAATCACAGAGGATGGGAAGAAAGCATTTAGCTGTAATGTTACAATGCTTCCATTAAGTGTCCAACATTCCAATTAGTAAAGCAATTAACAGCATCTGATCCTTTCTCTCTTTATTGGGTAATGCTTCCATTGACTGTACACACTCTTGCTGAGATCAGCTAACTCTGGCTAAACCAAGGACCAAACCCGGGATTGTGATTGATTGAACGGCTCAATGTTGGCTTGGCGTGCGTTCACCCACCGAGCTATCAAGTTACTTTAAAGCAACACCTATAAACAAAGAGCTCGTCAGTGTCATTTTCTGTTCATGTTCAGTCTGCTGAAAAACAAAGGGACCCATATTTCCTATCTATACTTTTAAGGATTATGGTTGCAACTTTGAAATCGTTTTTTCGAATGCTTGTACAGTACATAGGTTACAAACCACATTCCAGACACTTACAAAATGCCAATGGTCTACTCATTCAAATTCATAGTGGTAAATTCTCTGAAAAGTTGGTATTAGATTGCATACAGTCACAGTTTAAAAGCTGCAGAGTAATTCTGTGTTTAAAAAGGTTGACCTGCATGTGAAGCCTGCCTGGTTATGTGCAATAACACCTGTCTAACAGATGGTCGTCATCCATCCATCCAACACCTTTTTTTTGAAAAAACTACGCAAGCACTTCTCAGTATTCAGTATTCAACAATGCAACATTTGCTCATTTCTGTAGGTGGGACAGAAAAAATAATTAACCCTTTATTCAGCCACTGAAAACCATGCTCAAAACCGTGCTCATTACGTTGGGATGATTTCAAACATTAGCCATCATCTCCTTCCCCTAGACTTTTTTGGTGACTTAGTTTAAATTCATGACATATGGACTTGGAGTATGACATATGACATGGAGTCCTGTAGCTCAGTGGTTAGAGCACTCGCTTTGCTAGTGAGAGACCTGAGTTCAATTCCCGGCACAGGGCGAAACCTTGGGCAAGTTTCCTTACTCCACACAGAGCCTAATAATAATCCCTCCAAAACCAAAAACAATAATAAATTGGTCATTTTCAATCTACGACGGTTTGTGGGACATTGCTGTGCGCAATTGGCTGCCGCGTTCGCCCACAAATATACAGTCAATTCACTTTACAGTGTGTTCTGTGAAGCGCTTTGGGACGTCCTCCCGACGTGAAAAGCGCTATATCAAATGCAAGGATTATTATTATTATTAAATTCATGACATATGTGACTACTAAAGCCTTTAAAAAAAACATTGAATACTGTAAATCACAAATCCAAGCAGCTGTAGATGTGCCTGGTGGGCTAGCACCATTGACGTCTTTTTTAAAAAAACACAAAATAAATATCAAATAAATAAAAAAAGCTTCCCGCAGACTGAATTCCGATAAAAATTAGCTGTATAAGGTTCAGTAGATGAAAAAGTGGAGTTGGTCTTCTCAGGAAGGAGAGGTAGTGTTAAGACAATGTATTCAATATCACTCATCCACTTCACCAGCTGGGTCACACTACTTCAGTAACATTCCAGTTTCCGCAAAGTTCTTCTACATTACATTCAGCGTGAATTGGCTCCGGATATTGACACTTAAATTAGAGCCAACGGCATCAATTCAGTATGAATATGCCAGAAGCAGCAGCAGAATTGGAAGAATGCTTGCCTTTCTCTTCAACCTATTCCAAGAAAACTCTTCTTTAAAGAATTTAACAAAGCCAGTTTCTGCCATGAGATCTGGTTTGGGTCACCAAACTCGGTTTAAAATTTGTGTAATATCACAATAAATGTTACTAGTGTGGGCTAATGGGCCTTCAGAACTAACGTTATTAATAATAATACACAACAACAACATTTGGTAGTATAAAGCTTTTCACATCAGGAGGCAGTCTCAAATCCCTTCTCTCTGGCACCTCCCTACCTCTGACCTCCTCGCTCCCCAACCCACCATCCAGTGCCTTCACTCGACTAGCACCAGCCTCCTGCTTGCCCCTCGCACCCTCCGCTCCACCATTGGAGGGCATTCAGTCTCTGCACTCCGATACTCTGTAACACTCTCCCTCAGTCCTTCCATCCTGCGCCCCCTCTCCCCTTTTTCAAGGCCCGCCTGAAAACCTTCCCTTTCGACCATGTTTACAGTTCCCCAGCACCCCACCCACCACCACCCCTGGCTCGGAGTCAAACTCCACCACTGTTAAGCACTCTGAGACGCTACCATGTGTGGGGAATGCTGTATAAGTGCAAGGTGTTGCAGTGACAGTATTTTGTAGGTGAAATATAGCAGCCAATTTGTGCACAGCAATATCCCACAAACAGCCATGAGGTGAATGACCAATTTTATTGGGGCTGACCTTCAGGAAACTATTTGAATAGTAACCAATATACCAGGTGTACCAGGTCCCAGCTGTTCCCCAAGCTGACGTAGTGATTCACAAATGCAAAACTGAACATTCAACAACAATCACTTGCCCTCATATAGCACCTTTTGGGGTAGTGTCTCAAAGCACTTAACAATGGTGAAGCTTGACACTGAGTTGAGGAGAGAGGGGAGATGAGCTTAGCCATAGTCAAAGAGGATTTAGCTAATATAACGGTGGTTAAATGGATGTAAAATGTCTGTTTTACGAGGTTTGAGGTTGGAGATTTTGGCTGGAATTACTGCTCTCATTTACCATTTTGATTGTCACATTCCTGCTTTGAGAAGCCTACTCAAAATTCTCCGCTAGTCTTTTCTTTCCTTAAAAGGAACAATGGTTCACAAGCAAGACCAGTAATTCTGGCCTAAACCTGCTGATACAATTTTGTTTTCCAGAATACAGTGAATTTACTGCCATTTGAAGAATCATCTTTGAACTCAACCTTTCAAAGAAAGGAAAGAAATTATACTGCCTTTTGCCCATCTCATTGTAAGAATGTCAGCAAGGCAAGGTCAATCTTGTAAGAACGTCAGCAAGGCAAGGTCAATCTTATTTATCACCAAGTCAAATTCACGCATTATACTTCAAATTAATTTTTACAGGGAATCCATCTCTTCCGTCAGCTTTCTATGTGAATGCTTTTGATTTATTTACCAATATAAATTCAACAAATTAATACCAATATAAATTCAACAAAGGCATAAAAAATAAACCTCTCCAGTTGACGTAATGCAGAATTTAAAATGAGACGCTAATAATCATCTGGATTAGATTCAGTGGCTCGTCCTGGAACAAGCTGTACAGAAACAGCTCAGCACACAGCTCACCAATCTGCACCCATTGCATTTAATCATCATCAAATAATGCCTTGTGAACCTCCAGACTGAAGAAAGACTGCTCAAGGTTACGTTTTTAAAATCATGAAGACAGCTATACCATTGCAAACTTATTTTACATCTGTAAAGTACCAATTTGTTTTTAAATATTCAATAGGCAGCTCATACCAGAATAGGAAATATATTAGGGTTTATTGTATCTTAGGTATTAGAGGACATAAACTATCTTAAGTCAGGTCAAAGCAAGATGACCCATGTTATTCATATAATATTGTTTTCACGCAACTTTTTTTTACAGAATAGGACTCCCCCTCCCACCCCCCCACCAACTACTAGTAGTTTACTAAAGATTCTCTAAAGTAGAGGGGGATTTCTCTCCTCTCTCCCCCTTCCCCCACCCCACAGTTATATTGACAACTACCAGGATATGCACTGATGGGATCAATAAGAGATCCACATGGGGAGTATGTTCATCTGATCCCTGGAGTCAAATGGACAGGTTATTCCAGTTACCCACATTGGAATAATATTTTTTTCTTGTGGAAGGGGGAAAAGGGGGAGAGAAAATAGAAGAATAAAGAGAAAAGGGAAAGACAGAAAGGGAAGGGATTCTTTGTGTCATCAAGTTAGGTACAATTTTAAAAAAGTCTGGGAATCAGGCAATATCACC